AGAAATGAAACCCATGTTGGACAGTGACTGTGCACCATTTATTCAGTCTTTGTCTTCCAGTTGAACAGTGATAGGGGAGTAGAGATTACTCAATAACAACCGAGTGTTTCATATTATCAGCTTTAATCTGTGTGTTATTTCTAGGCAGTATTCTGAAATGCATATGCCAAATCTAGAGGCAAAAAATTGAATAGTTACATTTTATATAACAAAATGGCACAAATCTTCTGTATATTCTGCTGTTGATACTACTCAAGGATGTGTTAGCCTTTAGCATAAATTGGTTTTATACATCGGAGTATTATAATCTAACAATTGTGGGGACATTTAGTCCTAGAAATCAACTGTACTGTTCATAAATTAAAACCAGTACATGTGTCTTGCTCTCTATAGTATCATTCCTCTCTTTAACTGGCAGAATTTCAGTGATATAGACATTTTTCTTTTACACATATAGCTGTTAAAATACTCCAGAGTTATTTCGGAGGATATTTATGTTTGTATGCTTATCACAGAGAGAATTATTTAATTTACTTTGAAAATCTACTAAATTATTCAGGTACTACAATGGGCTAGCTTCTGAATTTTCCAAATCTGGAGCAATTGTTCTTGTTCATGTAACAAATGTGGCTATTATGGCTATGTCTTTTAGGAATATTTTGCCAGAAGGCCTCCCGGATTCACACCTTTCCGGAGTGCTTCACCCTCCCACACTGTAGAAAACAGTCAAAGTCCTGGCAAAGGAACAAAGGAAGACAATGGACAGGAACCAGAAGACAAAGGTGAATCTGAGCATAAACATGGGCATAAGCATGGGCATGGATGTAAAAACAATCATGAGTCTGACAAAAGGCATGGGCATGAAACTGGTTGAGGGTGCAGAACTGGCCATGGGTGTGGGCATAAAAAACACAGTAAAAATGGTAAACAAACTCCAAACCCCAAATCTTCTAGAGAGTCCAGTGAAAGGGGTTTTAATCAAAACAAAACTGTCCCATCATCCAGTGCTGAAACAGCACCAGAGTTGGTTAATCCAGGGATTGCAAGAAAGGAAACCAGTACACCTGCAGAGCCACTAATTCTTCCTGATACTTCTTTATTTAATGGGTTGCCAGATCGCCCAGAATCTGCTCACCCCAGATGTCCTGGAAAACCATGGAAACAAATTATGGATCTTCCAGACTCTCCTAGCTTTCCCAGAGAATTCACAAATGAGGATCTCTTGCCTTCTGCAGCAGAAAATGTTGATTCAGCAACAGCAAACGAAGAGGAAGACTTTGATCTCGCAGATGCTTTACAATAGTTCAAACACTGTAGGATCCTTTTCAGAAATGATACATAGAAAAAAAGAAAAATAGTGCCTTTTGAAATATATAAAATATGAAGAAGCAGAAGCTCCTATTCTGTTAACTGAAGGACTCAAGTAGGTCAGCAGCACTTCTGGGGACCTAAGACCATATGGCAATACTGTGTATCTGCATATATTTGCAAATATGTAAATCAGTGTAACTCATCTGCCTCAAGTTGCTATAAGCACAAAGTGAATCACTGCATCAAATCTCACTGTATTATATTTAAAAGAATGGCAGAAAGAATTTTGCAGATTACGTGAAGATTCTCAACCAAATACGGGTAAAACAAAAGCAAGACAATAGAGAGCAAGGGAGCCTCTTCATATATATGAAATAATATTTCTCTGATTTACTGGAGTGAAATAAAGACCAAAATAAAACAAAGGAACCTGTTTTACCTGTCAATTTCTTTAAACAAATTAATATTGCCACCAATCTATCACTAGCAGGTTGTTCTGTTGGATAACATGGACAGCTGAGGGAATCCTAAATAAAGTACTTTTATTATTCCCTATAGAAGCGCTATGATTGACAGATTTTCATGTGGCAGAAAGGCACAAATATTACAGATCAGACAACAAAATTACAAACTCTTGAGACACCTAAAATTTGTTTGTCTTCTTCCATTATTAGGTTGTGCATAATTTTGAGACTGGTCTGAATTTTCTATTCTGGATATCTTCCAAAGGTTCGTGGTTTTGTGGGACACATCAGCTAAAAAGCATCAAACATTTCTTGCAAATTAAAACATGTTTTCCCTCTGTATGGATCCAATAACTTATTCAGCTGAAAAAAATATAATACGGAGCAATAAACAAATTAATACTATAATACCCAGATCAGTTCACCAGTTTGAGACACTACTTGGTCCCATGAAAGGTTATTGACAGGGTAAGGTCCTACAAGTGGTAACATTTCACTGATATTGTTGAAAAAGACCATGTTGCTTGAAAGCACAGAATAAGTATAATCCAACACAGCTGCAATTCCCTGAAGTTGCTCATCCCAGCTCCTGGGATTCTGTGGCATCAAGACTATATATTCAACAGCTGGAATGGGTCCTTCATTTGTGTGCTGTGCTTCTATGGCCACCACCTCCCTGGGGAGGAAGAACTAGACAGGTGAAGTCCATTCAGAGAATGCAAATTGATGAACAGGATCAGGAGGTCTTGGCACAACAGGCTGCCATACAGACACACAGACATCTGTCATGACTGGTGATATATAATCAGAACCACTGTACTTCCTTTCTTTCTGAAAACTAAGTTACCAATCTTTCAGAAGTCACACAACTTAGCTGGAGCCCCATTTTAGAGAAAGATACAAAAATAATAAATCCTGGATCAATCACTAATCAAATCCAGCATTTCTTCCCATTTCTTTCCTTCCAGCATAAAATGCAAAGTCTATCTTCTCTTTTTACCATGTGACAATTACTAAACTTACAAAGCTAGACAAAGGAAAGCCTTGAGAGTTATCTTTAGTTCTCTGCTTCTTTTCTTTTTTTTCTGAATTTTGACTTGCATGATTTTGTCTGTACCTGCAAACTCTTTTGTGTATGCTGAATTATTACAAAGACCATAAGCTCAAAACAGATTTTCTTTAAATCACCCTAGCAATTTAAGTAATTAGCACAAAATTACAGTAAAAGAAGTAAAGGTGCAAAGATGAGAAAAACAAAGTTTTCTTCCCCTTTCTGATGTCCCTGATCTGAACGAAAAAACAGTCACACCCTTGATGTATTCTCCCCACAGAGAATCAGGGGGAGTGATCGTACGTGACTACGAGCAGTGAGACAGACTGAGTGGTCATTTACCATGTGCTATAGTGATGATGTGAGGTTTCATTAATGTTTAATACAAAGATGACAATTTCAATTTGCTTTTATAATTTACAAAAATTATTACTTTTGAAGAAAAATCATTCTGGAATAAAAATCAGTATTCCAGTCTAAAGATTTTGAAACAGAATGTTCGGATATTTTTAGAACGGAACATTTCAATTTCTCATTGACACGTTCTCATTACAACAATACAGCACCTTCGGAGGGAAGAATCTGCTGTCAGAAAACTACTGACCAGCCTTGTTTCAGCTCTGCTGCTGAGAGCTCTGCAAAGCTCCCAGCTTCTCCTACTGCTGGAATCACGCTGGCGCACTCTGTCCAGGGACCACAGTGGCTAACGGGTACTCTCCTCCTTGGCCAGCAGATGGCACATTTTTTGCCACAGGGTTTATGATCTCCGAATTATGTCAGTTCTGTGATTGCCAGGAAAGGCTTAGTAGGCTTAACACTCAGCGTTTCGTTTGGGTGAGTAACAATGTAGATAAGAACACCCCATCTGTCCAATCTGTTTTAAATATTAAGCTCTAGCAACAGAGCTCCGAAGTTTGCCAGTTACTTATTATGAACAAGGTGTATAAATAATGCTCTAAGTGTAATTTCATGAACATAAAAAAAAAAGGCTACTCCTGCACCAGAAAAATTGCATTCTTAGTGATGCAGATAGAGCAGGAACTACAACTCTGGGGTATGAAAACATGTCTGAATTAAAGTTCTGTTGATGATACTCCTGACATGCAGAGCTGCACGATGGCCATTCTGCAGCTGTCTGAATTTAATGTGCTCTCTCTCTTGTTCATTCCACCTGTGACTGTGGGACAAAATATGTATTTTAACTGGCCATGAAAATTCCTCAGCTTTACTATGGATGGCCTATTGGATTTTTGCCACAATTCAGACACGACCTTTCAATCACACTCAGCAGTTCCAATCATCCTCCTGTGCTATGTTGACACAGTGTAAGCCTTGGGAGAGAGCTGTGCAAACACCTGACATCAGAACATGGGGAGCATGAACAATGAACGCTGGCATTTGATAAGATGTAAGAACTCATTTCCTTCCTTGTTTTCTCAGGTCTCTCAGCCAGCAAGACAATTGCTCCCAATGTAGGAATATCAGCTCTGAGGATAAGAGGCTACAGAATTAGAAATGACATCATTGTGTGGCCATTGTCATGTAGACAGAGCTGTACCAAAGCCAAACTACAAATTCCTCAAATATTCTTAAAAAATAATAATGGGGTTAGATATTTTCAATCCTATAACCAGCTACTCACACACAACTCCTAATGCTGCTGTGTTTACAACACTACATTCGTATAATTCAGCTTCCACAGTTTTAATTAAGCTTTAAGTGAAGTTCATTTGGTAAAATGTAATTAATAACAAAATGTTTCTTCTGCATTCTAAAAGAAGAGGGAGGCTGCTTCAAGAAGGAAGGTTTTCCCAATTGGGTAAAGCATATTTCTACAATACTGGTAGTACTGCTGTTCCTGCACTGGTTTCAATCTGCTACTCAGTGAAGACTCAACCATAAGCTCCAAAGAAGTAACTCCTACTAATATGGAGTAACAGGGATTCGAAACTTGACAGAGACTCTTTTCTGCCATGAATACTGACAGTGCTGATCTGTGGGTTGAAGATCAGGCATTAAATTACTTACCTTACTGTTTCAGTTCAAACTGAGCCACAGAGAATCAGAATTCTCTGCAGAATCCAGAGATATGCCAAAGAATTATATTGGTTTTAAAAGTGAAGAGCAAAAATATATTTATTAGAAGCACTGTCTGAATTTGGTGGATGCCTCTCCACCTTCCACTGGATGCAGTTATCACAGGAGCCATAACAGACCAGTTGGCTTGAAACAAAAAAATAACAAGATGAGTGAAAAACAAGGGAACAAGTCTGACTAGGGCACAGAATGAACAAGGAAGTACCTGTCACTCAGGGAGGACATATTTTTAACTGAAACTTAGATTACTATAAAAAAACCTCAAACAGTTGGGGTAGACAAGAATTGAGGATTATTGATTTCAACTTGGGGAACAAAATGCTCATCAACAGAACATCCACAGGAGCTGTAACATGTTTAAAGACTTGGACTTACATGCCCAAAACAGTATACTTTAGTACTTTGAAAATCCACCAGACACATGTGAAGGAATATAGTTTTATTTCTTATTCTAACCCCTAAGCATGTCAGCAGAAGTTAATTCCTTGACATTCAATCCAAAAGAAAAAAAGACTAATGCCATAAAACATCACGTAAAAGTAAATCTACTATAGCTGAATTCTCTTCATTTATACGTGCCAGCTGTTCTAGCAGCTGTATATTAACAAAAAGAGTAGAAATGCTCACAAATTAATAAAAATAAAGGGGTATAATGGGACGTAGCTCAGGCTTTACAAAAGAAAAAAAAATCAGTTCCAGAAGGAATCTAGAATTCAGACTGATCATTTAAGCAGTCTTGTGACTGCTAAACTAAAATCTCCTGTTTGAATGCAGAGGCCTGATTTTAAATTGTACTGAGAATTAACCTTAAATTAACCTTAAATAGCATTATGGCTACTCAGCATTTCAAAAATTAGGCCTTAGAGTACTCAGCCAAAATCTGTGGTGTAAAAAAGTGATATTACTTGGAAGTGGCTGAGATGGACATTGAGCAGTGCAATGCCTCTAAAAGGTAATTATGGGCAGAATTAACCTTCAAAGTAGCTCTTATATTTTACAGTGTTTTGGGAATTGGTGCAGGTCCTGGTATTAACAACAGCAGCACTAGTGGCTTAACAGTTTTCTTTCGTGGCCCAAATACAGAGATCAGAATGTTCTGGGTAATGTTTTGCCATACTTCCTTATTCTTTTGATCATTCCCACAATATAAACCAGGTGCAAGAAGCAAGCAAACCAAGCATAAACTATGAGATCACCTCTTTCTTCAGAGTTCAATCCAGATGTATGGACAGATTAGTAGATTTACAAACAACTCCTCTGCCCTGTTTAGCTTCCAGTTACTTTTCTATTGTAAGACAACCGAGATGCCTCTGGAACTTTGACTCAAGGTGACAGATCTGTCGGTTGTAGTTGACAGTTTGGCACAGAACGGTGTCAATACGAAGGGTACAATGTGAGTGCACTCCACTCAAAACAGATCAGCACTGCTGGAGCTCTGCTCTTTTTCACTGAAATACATCCCAGCCACCATCAACCCATCAACTGGAACCAATAAATACTCACACCATTTGCAAATTTATGAGAATAACCTGTCATTTAGCAACATTGTGCTTCTGCCACCTGCTTTTGCCAATGAAGAACTACTAAATTGATCTTAGACTGCAACACCAACTGTCCACTAAATAGCTATTCTAAGGCAACTGAATTTTAGTCTGCATAGGGTCCATCCATTCCTTCTTTAACAGTTACTGTACAGAGAGGTATTTATTATATTTGTTTGAATAATCACCTTACAACTCTGAAGAACCCAAACTAGTTTGACCCAGAAGTTCAGTGATCTCTTCTGGAATGTAGCACCCAATGCTCTGTGGAAGTCAGTCCCAGCACAAACTCAGCAGGGCACTTAACAACCGTTTGGAGCAGAAGGTGATTAAACCACTTGCTGACACTGAACTGAATCACAATCGCTTGTGTTGCCAGGGGGTGCCTCAGCCGTGGATTAAGCTCAAAGGACTCATGCAAACCTTGACAGGATGTTATCAACCCCAAGTGCACTGGGGACAATAGTAAATAAAAAGAATGGTTCTGAAGACTGCAGAACTGTCTGCAGCTAATGAGTCTGACAAAACTAGTCTGAATCACAAAATGAGTCTGACTAGTAAAAACAGACTTAAACATCCAATTCCCCATGACACACCTTGGAAAGGGCAACTGATATATTTGTGTTTGATGTACCTTACCCAGTGCCACTCATGGCTGGGAAATGGCATGTATGAGCTAAGCTCTATGATCTCAAAGAATAACAATTTTACAGTGTGAGATGGTAATACTTAAAAAAAAAAAGAAGTGAATCCCTATTTACAGCCTGAACTGCCTAACTACCAGGCTGCTATAGGAAAAAATTCACTCTGACCCAAATTACAAACAGACTGCAGGAGAATAGTCAAACACCATTTGATAAATGGTGATAAAGTGCAAAACAAGAAACTGTGAGAAAGGGCTGTTCTATCCAAGCACACTCAAACACAGCAAACAGATGGTTAAGCAATACCAACACAGGAGCACCAGCAGAGCTAGGACAGCATTATCGCTGCCTCCACAGTTTGTTTGATTCTCTTCAAGGCCCCACAGTTCAAACATGGCAGGTGTGCTGGGTTGCAGTGCAGGGCACGTGGGTTCAGCTGCCTCAGAAAGGGCCAAAAGACTGAGAGCAGGAGCAGGTGAAGGACAGCAAAAATATATAACATGCTAGACAGATGTAGAAAGAGCAGCAGTAGCTTTTGCATGAGTGTTTCACATATAATTCTGCAATGATCTTGAAAAGTCTTAGACTACAAAGCTCACCCCATTAAAGAGATCCCACAGAAAGCATGTCTGATGTCAGTTCTGTAGTCAGTATTCTCGAGTACCTAATATTTATTTTTCATTTCTTTATTATACATTTCCACTCAAAAGACATCTACTTAGAAAACAGAAGATGAAAGATCATTGATAAAAGGTGGATAACACATCAATATACCCCAACAATCTTAGCACAAAAACCAGTTTCACTTGCATTTTGAAAGGTTTCACAGCACTGCAGAGCTGAATGCAACAACTGACATATTTTAACATATACAAACAGAATTCAATCGGCTCAATGTTATGCTGAATTTTTTACCACCACTTTTTCTTCTTATCTCTCTACTGAGTTTTTTCACACATGTCTTTACCCAGGGTAACAACGTTAATGCCAAAGTAGTATCAAAAAGCAGCTACCTTGAAGCAGCAGTGAGTATTTTCTAAACGAAAAAGTCACTCTTCTTCTCCCTCCTTTCATTGCAGTATTTCCTCCTGAAAGCACGGGAGTGTGCTTGCTTGCTCATCACTCCTGCTACCCTAAACAACTGAGAGAGCTTTGTTCTTCTGCACCAGCAGTTCTGCTCATGAACACTGACACTGAATTTCCTTTTTTAGACAGCAAGGACGCAGACTTTCTTCCTCTTCTCTCCCCCCTCTGCCTCGCCTCCCCTCCCCCTCCTACAGTCTTTGCTGTGCCCTCATCTTACCTTCAACAGCACAAGAAATCCCTGCTGCAGTTTTTTTCCTCCTTAGCAGCTCTATGGCAACAGCAGCTCTGAGGCAGCAGTCCTTCACAGTTCTCACTTCTCTCTGTTTCCTTCTGCATAAAGATACACAGTCTGTTTGCCCAGGAAATCAGCAAAGACAACTCTGATGTGATGGAAATTAACAAACACAATTCCAAAATTATTTCAGAAAAAGTGTGCTCCCGGGGGTGCAAAGTTGTATTCCCAGAAGAACTGAATATTAACAATGCAAATGAATAATAATAAAGGAAATCAGAGAACTCTCTTTGTGTAATTAACTGTAAAATCATCTTTGGGATAACAACGCTTTCTTGAACACAAATGTGAAAAAAGGGAACTCTGAGCTTAAGATACACAAAATATCACATCCAAATGATGTCCTGAAACTAAAAGTATTTGTCATTGTTTGACTGAGTCTTTCTTTATATGTTATTTACACATAAATTAAATCAGTGGTTTGTTTGTTAAACTCCTACTAAAATAAAAGCAGTAATGGGATACAAGAATTCATAGTCCTGTAACCCATGGAAAAGTACATATCAGAATACATTTAGAAATGGCAACACAAGCTACAGAGGGCAAAGAGCAAGCAAAGAAAAAATATCAGTAATTGGGTGGTTACTGAGTACTGTAGTATCTACCTGCTTAGAAATTAGGATTTTCCTGACTTTGCTACTTCTAAATTAATCAGAAGAATGAGCTACAAATAAATGTTGACTATGACAGCAAACAAACAGCTCCTTAAGACTCAGAAAGAATTATTATCAGAAATTCTTTCATTAAACTAAAGTACCTAGGACAGGATAAAAGTACTTTGAATAGAGGCACATACATTTTATTTATTTATTTATTGCAAAAAAACCTGTCAGTAAATTGTAATCTGATCATTTTAATTACATGCATGAACTAAATGAATCAATATATTCCTGCAATTCAGCATGAACTTGCATTTCTGTCTCCTGCTGTGCAAAGAACAAAGGTTTCTGGCCACTGCCAATTGCTGTGATGTGTTAAAGTGCATGTCCTGGAGTGGCACGAGCAGTGCCACAATTATTCTTATCTAAAGTAACAGGATCACCTGCATCTTGTCCTGTCCATGCATTAGTCCATGTCCACGCTTCCTTGTGTTGGTGGATCCCAGGAAAACACAGGCAGCTGTTCCTGGGCACAACCTGAGAGGAAAAGAATGAATTCTCCACTATCCAGCACCTCAAACGTTCATTTTTGCCTCATCTGGCAGTATTCAGTCAGCATACAAAACAATACAGAACAGCATTCTGGGATGGGTTAAAGCACAAACAACTGGGGCTAAGGACTGGCCTACAGAGGCTTCACAGCACGAAACAGAAGCCCCAAAACAACAGAGCAGGACAGTTACAATTAGCAGCTCACTTGGCACTTCAGCTTCATGAGCACACATTTCAAACCCAGCCATGACAAGAGCATCAATCTGTAACACTGTTAAAGAGAAAAGCCTTGGAATAGTTATATTTTTCATCCCCGAAAGATCACAGACAGATTGAGAAAACAAACGAACAAAATTATAACAAAAGTCATAATGTTTATCTTGATTAAGTTTTTAAACTGTTCCCCACCCAGAGGTCACTGCTTTGCCCACTGAAGCACAGCACACAAAGCCATCAGTCCCAGCCTTAAAGAGTTTACAGTCTAAGAGATTCTTCAAAGAAAGACAATAATTTCCATTGTACAAACAGATGAAAGAAGGGCACAAAGCTGAAACTAATTATCTAGACTTTCACATTAAACCAGTATCAGTAACAGAAACTGATTCTGAGCTATAGTTACCTGCAGAAATTAAGTCTCAATTTTCTTATGAAAAGTAAATCTCAGTAGGAAACTTTCAATTTCTAAAAATTAAGATTTACCTTGAGGCAATACTTTTGACTACACAGCTCATTTTATTAATGACAAAGTATTTAACTTTGGTTTTACCTGTTACATGCTGTAACAAACTATAAACTGTAAAATACTGTTTTGAAATTTAAAATGCTCTGATAGAGAAGGAGCAAGAGAATTCATTAACAGAAAGGCTGGATATGGACACAGAAAGAGCTTCTGTTAAAGAACAATGAAGCAATTTGTGTGATATCTCACTCTTGCTGCTTAGGGATGTGCACATTTCAAATACCCTGACAACAGAGGCCTGTGAGACACTCACAGAAGTTCTCTGTGCAACACTGTATCAGTTGATAAATCCCTGCCAGTTGCTGTCACCAACCTGAGATGGGCCCTCGTAACTCCCAGCTCTGCACAGCACAGTGTGTTTGTCCTGATGTCCAAAAGTGTCATTTGGATGGGGAAGGACAGAGTGCCTGGTTCTCATCAGTCAGGACACAGAGCATCTATCAAGGTTCATACAACATACTTAAGAGATTATTACTTTTTGACCACAAACTGGTCCTGTGAATTTACCCCTGTAAAAATCAAAGTCCTGCTTGGCCTTTCTGGTGTTTTCATCTTGGGCTTGGTGCACGTGCATTACTTCCTCCTCCCAAGGACATAACACTCAAATTTTTATCAATGAGGAAAGGTACTCAGATTAAATAGAGAGTACAGGTCTGCCTGTAGTGGCTGTTCCAAAAATTAAACGACTGAAATCATCAATTAAAAACCTCAAGCAATGTCAGTGGGTTCCAAATTTGAATAATCATGAGAACAAACAATGTGCACAGATGGTTAACCAACAGCAGAAGGAAAAATGTTTTCTTCAAAATAATGCACAGGCTCACACCTTTCTCTCAGAATTGGAAAAAAATATTCTTTGCAGACTGTCTCAGAAATATATGACATGCACTATTTCATGGCAGTGCAAAAGACTTCCAGTAGACTTAAAAATAAATGTAACCACTCCTGTGTCAGGATGTTATCAGCAGCTGCCACCTGGTTCATCTCTCAGCTTTGCTTTACTTTTGCAATAGAGAGAACAAACTCTACCCTGAAAGTACCTGTAACTTCTCCCAAAGATTTCTGGGCCTCCCACCATTACTGACCCCCATGTTTCAATCACTTGCCCACACGTAACCTCTGAGGCAAACACCATCACCCCACCTTGCAGAGGAGAAAACTCAAGAGCAAAAAGAGCTCTCATTACAATAAGAGTCAATGGCAAGTCTCTAATAAATGTAATCTGTTCAATTTTAGTGTTAAAATTACATGTCTGTGGTCACACTGGGAGCCCTTAACACAACAAAGAACAGAGCTAAGCCGACTTCATGTCCTGGACCCGACTATGAGCCTTGAAAACTACAACAAAGGATCTAATTGCTCAATCAAGGAGAATATTCAAGACCTAAAACTGTAATTATTGAGTTTTACAGCATGCAGAGGACTGAATGACTACAAAAACCATAGAAAGAAAAGTGTGTTTCTGTTTCAAGTATTTCAGTTAAGATTTTATTGTGCCAACGTTTTCCTTATTACCGGAATCGTTACTAAAATTACAAGACCACCATGAGTGATTTCATATGATAGTTTTCTTACTTTATACTCCTTTAAAGAATTAACAGTAGTTTACATGCTTCCTCTAAGAAATTAAATACTGATTTTCTAAAATTAACCCTAGTTTTTTATTAGAAGCCCAGTATAATGCTAACTAAAGTAAAAGGGAAGTTTTTCACAAATTCAAAGGCCACTGAATGAAACCGTATATACCTACTATAAAAATAAGTAGTATTTCACTTCCCTTAGTTCTTAAGATTTTTTTACCCTCTGAGACAGAGCTGAGAATCCTGGGTTCCTCTGAGGGCCCAGAACACTTCTGCCACTTCCTTTCAGCAGCAGTTTACTAAAACCTTCCCACTGCATAAACCAGAGAACTTCATTATTTCAGAATAAGAAATATGTAACAGATAACTTCAAACCTCTGAAGGCAGGAAGGTCACTACGAGTCTGAATTTAAGCTCCAAACTCTAAGAGGAGATGAATAACTGGAAATATTAAATTCACACAACTTTGCTCTTTCTTTTCAAAAAATTAGTCTTAAACAGTTTAACAGATTAATATCATCAAGGAAAAAAATCTAACTGGGAATGGAAGAATTTAGGCTAAGAAACAGAACTACGCAGAACTGAAGCAGGAACACTCCTTGGAGACTTGTGCTCCAAGCAACTAGAAGGACAAGCCACAAAGCACCGTGCACACATTTCAGACAAGTGAGTCAGCTGGCCAGCAAAAGGTCCTGTCCACCCCACATCCTCTACACAAGCCTGAATATCACGAATAGACTGAGCATGTGAGACAATTAAATCAACTAAAGCAGCTTAAATCCCACTGTCTGTCTATAGTGCTTGGCACCTAAGTAATTTAAGCATATTTGAAAACATTCCTTATTGACATACTGCACAACTATTCAGTGAGACAGAACTTGGACTGGGAGAGGAAATTCTGTGTCTGAATGTACTTTTAATTCATTCAACAAGATCACCATTGAGATTTCACAACACAAATTTGACTACAGTTAGAAAGCACAGAAATATCGGTCAAAGCGTAACAAAGCTGTAAATTAATTTTAAAAAGGATGACAAAGCAAACCTAGCAGCCCAACACACTAAAGTCATCCTAATGTGGATTTCAGATTACATGAGAGACTACAGAATACAAAGCCAGCGTTCTCAGTCCATTAAAAACACTGCATCTTATAAAATTCTATTGTTTAGTTTGTTTAAATTGTAATTTCAGTGGAATGACAAAAAATGCATAAGTTAGCATTAATGAAACCCTGACTACTTTTAAATAACAAGCATGGGACTCCTGGAATTTGGACTTTCTTTCTCCCCTGGAGGTTTTCCAGAATCTTTCCTATCCACTCCTACATCTGAGGAAGAGTGCTTTTGTTTAGGCAGGATCCTCTGGGACTGAGGAACTGGAAAACACGACTTCTTGCTACCAACACCCTAACAAATCATCTTGATCCTTGACACGACCTACTGTGAGCGAGCTCTGTCTGTTTGCCATTACTTTCTTTGCCCTGTTAGTCATGACAATCAAATCACACACAGTCCCCACTCTCACACCAGACTGGCAAATGCAGGAGAGGAACTCAGGGATCTTCCAGGTTTCCTGTGAAGTACGTGACAGTTTCATAGCAAATTCAAATCATTCTATGACATTTCTAAAAGGAGATTTCTGAGATTTCCTAATGGAAACTGCAACACAGCCTTTGCCAGAATATTGGTGAGCAGGGATTACTCAACTGGAGCTCAGTTTCAGGAGGTGTCAGCTCCTACTGCTTTCTTTAGATACATCATTCCTTACTTCAATCTGCATGAGTAATGACTGGAAACCCAGCTGCTAAACCAGCTAGTCCATCTGTTACCCCCTGTTAATAAATGTATAATTATGTTCACTCTCACTAAAGAGCTCATGATTCACTGGGATTGTCTTTTTGGGAAACATCTACTGAAGTGTATTAGCTGCACATATGTATGTGGCCGTGGATCCTGTCTTTAGTACACAGACATTTATTTAGTGTCTTCTTGGTATCCCTCCTGCTTGAGGAAAACATGAACCTGATCCTCGAGGAGCAGGTTTTCAGTTGAGGCTGCTCTAGAAAGCTTAATCAGATCTAAAGCCAGGGGACCATAAGAAATCCCAGTGTAATTCCAAGATTTTTGTCAGTGACAAAATCTGACCTTTCAGTACCTCCTCCCTGTGATGCTTCTTGTTCAAAACACAAATAATTCCAGGCAGAGTATGGGTAACACTGGCCTAAAAATACACAAGTTAGATATGAAATCACATGACATGGCTGCTTGCCCTACTGTAACCAAAGAGACATTTCTCAAACACTGTACAAAGGTTTTAAAGGGTGTAAAATGTTGAAATTTTTTCCTCTAATACAGTTAGGGGTCACTGCTAGGATAACAATCCTGGATCTCTGCTATCTTGTTTCACAAAAAGAAAGGACTGATTCTGCATTTCCAACCATTTGCTTATCCAAAGTTAATGAAACAAAATTTCTTTCCTCTTTTCCTTTGGTGAAACAAGTCAATGATTTCCACTGCAGGAAACATTGGGTTCTGTTCCTCAGAGGCCTTGGTGTGAAACATCCATCTGAATAAATCTCTTTTACGTGGGAACTGATGATTTGTTTCTTAAATCATAATTTCACTGTTCCAGTCATACAACACTCAAAGCAAAAAGAGAGTATCTGCCAAGGGGCCACCAGATCAAGGACTGTCACTGCATTAAAACAACCATGAACCAGAGCAAATAATGAGGCCAAATAATTCGATTCATCAAACTCTGCCAAACTCTGCCACGACCACACGACAGGAGATGCCAGTAAAGTCAACAGGTTTTTCTTTATACTCAAGCATCAGGTAAATCAGAGATGAACAAAATCTTCAGAGACACAGAAGTCTCAAGGTCAGTGGTCAAGAGCTGGGGGGGCAGGCAGTGCTGCTTGCCTAATTCCAAGAAATCTTGGCATCTGACTGAGAGACTTTCCATTATATTAGACAGTAAATAACAATATAAATTTATAAAATTGTCCCTTGATCGAAGTTAACAGTCAAAAAACCATTTTCTGAGCTGATTTTTTTTTTTTAACAGGATGAAGTTTGGTCAAGCAGAATAAAACAAGACTGCCAGGAGGCTAGAGCTAGGGAACAGTTTCTCCTTAAAGAAAGCCAGGAAAGCCTTGTCAGTTAAAAACTGTTGTCAAAACTGAATTCTCAAAGTGATCTGATAGATGGATAATCTGAAATTACACAAATTTCATTATAGGAAAAGATAAAGTAGATACTTGTTTCTGAGATGCCATTTCAAGTCTTTGAAGAATGATAACTTACCTTCCTGAAACTCCCTCAGGTCCCACTCAGGTTTGGAAATACTTTAAGGCTTAAATGCAATACTTAAATAAAAATATATATATATTCAACAGCTTTCTTAATAAATATTCAAGATCCCTAACAAATATTCAGCAGTTTTATTTCTCCATTTAGACTCAAAGTCATCTTAGTGGGAAATCTAACCACACCAGCCATGCATTCATGTTCTTTCTTCAGTCCATCCTGTTTCTTTTACAACCAGACGTTTATGAGTCCACATAAACTGTCATCATTTATTTAAAAAGCCTCTGGCTATTGTTGAATAGCTGTCTGAACTGCAAACACAAGATATTCTCAATATTTTCTACCCAGCATGGGTGAAACAAAACTTGAGACCATTAGAGTGGGTCACAAGTGGAGTGTCATTTATATAATTTTGCTGGGATATTGGTAAATGCTGCATTATTTCTACAGATAATATTGCCCTAGCAGATGTTACCATAGGAAGATCAAATGTATATATAGTCTTTGCAAGATTCCCTTTATGGATATTCTAGATGGTTCTACACAATTTACAATATTCTAGACAAGTAAAGGGTCAAGTTTTTCAGGCACTGCCTTCATTTGTTCATATATAATCACTATGGAAACAGGTTTGAGAAGTGACACATATAAACCCATTAAAGTTGGCAAAAAATTATTACTTACAATTTACATTATTTGCCCCCATATTAAATACTGATGAAGATTATTGTGAAACCTGAGAAGAGCATTATAATCATCAATATTCTTTTCTACCACAGTATGAAAGCATTGGGCACGATCACTGAATTGGTTTGCACAGTAACATTTCGTTTACTGCTTTAAATTGAACTGCACTAACCTTTAAATCAGTCTTGACAGGCTTTTTTTGTGAACATCGCTGTACTGCGAGCTGCAGTGTATCACAGCACTGCGCTTTCGGCAGCGCCCCAAGGACCACCCAGCCCGCCTCCTAGAAATACTCCCCAATACTCCTTCATCCCTTCCAGGAATGATGCACCCTTAGCGCCCCGGGACAAGCCTGCACGATTCAGCCCCGGGCCCGCGGGCCTGCACCGCCGGGTCCGAGCGGGGCGGGGTGAGAGGAGCCCTCAGAGGCGCCTCCATCTTCCCCCCATCACCTCACGGCCCCTCCGTGCGCTCCCAGCACTGGCCCCTCACGACCAATCCGGCCCCGGCCACAGGAGCAGGGGGGGAGCGCCCGGGTTGTGTTTCGCCCGTCAGGGAGGAGGGGGCGGCGGGAGCCATTTCTGTGAGTGGGGCGAACCGGCGCCCCTGGAGCGCGGCCGCCTCCCCCCGTCCTAGGACGTTGCTCTTTTCACTCCTCTGTCATCCCCTTACTCTGGGGCTTTAAAAAGAAACAGACGCGGCGGGGGAAATATGGGCAGGAGAAGGCGCCGCTGTGCCGGCCCGGCCGCTGCCGCAGGACCGGCCGGTGCCCCTCACCCGGCCAGGCCCGGCCACCATTTCCCCTTCCTGCCCCGCGCTGCAGCAGAGCCAGGCCGGGAAACCCCGTGCACGCGGCGAGGGGGGCAGGGAGGGAGGAAGGAGTGAGGCGTCGTCACGCACTCAATGGTGCAATATCCTTCCGCGCTCCGAGAGAAAAAGAAGTCCCACGCTCCCTGTGACCTATGGGCCCCGAGTGGCTCAGGCACGACCTTCGGAGTAACCCAAACGGTCGCGTGACGGGAATACCTTGGGAAACGGGGCTCATTCCGGGGGGATTCGTGCTTTTTCGCCAGTGGCATGCGGTGTATATCCATGCGCAGAGCGGAGCGCAACGAGTCCGACGGCGGGGCGGGTATATAAGGCGGGCGCCGCGGAGCGCTTGCCTTTTCAGTTGAGGACAGAGCTGGTGATCGGAACATGTCAGGGGGCTCCGCGGATTATAGCAGGTATGGCGGGGGGGCCCAGGCCCTTTCCTCCTTCAGGGGCTCCGTGGGTCGTGCGGAGGCGGCCGGGTAGAGGCGAAGGGGGGCGGATGTGTGCGCTGGGGCGCGCTGAGGGGAGGCCGACGCTGCGGTCGCTCAGCCCTGCGCCGCGGCCCCTCCCGTTCTAGACGTTTCTGTCGCGGCGCTTCCCTTGCTCGCGACTCAGCGGCGGGTTAGCTCTGTTTCTCCGGGCTCGCTTTTCCTTACTGGCTTTTTTTTTTTTAGCCATCCCCTTGCGCCTGAATACAGATTTATTTTTTTTTTTAATTGAAACCGTAGACAACTGAGTCGCGGCTGAAATGTTTTAACGCCTCCACGAGGATTATTTTCTTTTGACATTCTGCTCCTCCCCCCGCGCCAATGGTTCGCCCCAGGTTGTGGGGCCGCGCTGGGGGCAAGATCATTGTGTTTTGGGGGGGGGGGGGGGGGTCCGGGCCATCGCCCGGCGCCGTCCGCCCGCAGCGCCCGGTTTGCGCAATCCCAGGGGTGGAGCTCTCGCGAGAGTTCCCCGGCGGGGCGGGGCGGGGGGATCCGCAGCGGCGCCGGGAGCGCGCCCGCCCCTTCACCCCCCCTTCCTCCGCGGGAGCGCGCGCCCGTTCCCCGCCGCGGCGGGACCCGGCCCCGGGAGCTGGGAACGCCCGAGCCGGGCTGGGGGGAGGGCGGTAGGAGTTCGCCCTTTGGCAAAATCCCAGAGCACCTGCTGGAATGATCCGTCACGGGTCCCGCGGCGCTGGCAGCCGAGGTGCCGGCGCGCTCCCGGGTGCTGGTTGCTCCCGTACTAACAGCGTGTTCTGTTCATTGGCAGAGACCATGGCGGCCCAGAGGGAATGGAGCCCGATGGTGTCATCGAGGTGAGCACCTGTAAACCGACCTGAGAATTTAGACGCTGGTGAAGATGGGTGTTGTGTTTAATATTTTCCTTTTTTTTTTTTCCTATTACAGAGCAATTGGAATGAGATTGTTGACAATTTTGATGATATGAATTTAAAAGAATCCCTTCTAAGGGGCATTTATGCTTATGGTTTCGAGAAGCCTTCAGCTATTCAGCAGAGAGCTATCATTCCATGCATCAAAGGTATGTAGGCAATTCGTTTATTATCAACATGGAAGATTTAGGAAAGCACTGTAAAATGGATACATTGCTTTATTAGTGTGCAGTGATACTTCAGTCTTAAAAAGTGATATGATGGTACACCATCTTTCGGGACTGACCTGAAATGGAGAGAACTTTTATAGTACTGATCACTTGATTGAAAGGGAATTAAATAAAACTAAAAACCATGAATGACCTCTGGGAGCAGTAAATGTGTATCCTACTTTTTTTAGGGTATGATGTGATTGCTCAAGCTCAGTCAGGTACTGGCAAGACAGCCACATTTGCTATTTCCATCCTGCAGCAGTTGGAGATTGATCTCAAGGAGTCCCAGGCACTAGTACTGGCCCCTACCAGAGAACTGGCTCAACAGGTATTGATAGTGTAGTTTGAAAAAAATAAATGCTTGTGTGTTGCATAGGTTTCAGGTTTCACAACTGTGAGACAACAAATAGACTTCTCAAGGGGCTGTAATTAATATCCATTCAGAACCCTTTTTGTGTGAAGTAATGGGGGATACAAACTGGCTTCTGTCCCACAAGTTCTCTGCCTGCTTGAAAAGCTGAGTTGATGCCCATGGAGGGTGTGCTGGGGCAAAGGTGCAGGAGCCACCTTCTGTGCTGGATGTGGTTAAGATGTGGCAGCATCTCTAGCAGAAAACCAGCTTAAAAGCACAGTGTTCTGAGTGGAAACAAAATTTATTTTTTTTGGAAGCTATTTGAACCTGAGTGCAGTTGTGCAACATGAAAACTGCAGTGCACATGTGGTCACTTAGATTTTTTTTTTTTTAATATCTGTATGCTTTCTTGACAATGTAATTGCATGTCTGCTTAACCTTCAAGGCTTGGTATTCTGTTAAGCTAAGTGAGTGTCTTTTAACAAAACTTTTAGGATACTTAAATTTTTAGGGTGAGGGTATTTGTAATGTGGGGTCTTGAAATGTTAAACCCAACTTGAAATAGAAAACATCATTTTCAGGTAGAGTATACTAAAATGCCAGTGCTGTAGTGACAATTCTTCAAGGTAAAGTTGAACATAACTAAATCAGACACAAAAGAGTCTAAAAATTCAGTGGAACAAGAGCCTCTGCTCAGAAGGTTAAATAAGCCTTTGTTCTACTCTGAAGCCGTTGGTGAGGTGGGAGCTGTTTTGAAGCCTGGCATACTGTGCTGCACTTGCAAACAGCTCACGGAATAGTACAAGTGCTCAATGCAGGGTGAGCAGCTGAGAGCTTGGGCTCACTTTGGGAGGCCCTGCCTTCAGCTTAGTAATTGATTCACGGTAGTCACTCTTCCAACAAGTTCAAGTAGTAAGGACAAAAATGTAACTTAAAGTGCCTCTCTGACTTAAGGTTAATGGTAAATGATGTGCAGTTAGGCAAAGTCATTTTAACAACAGTCTCTTCTAAGAGCTGTGTAGTCTTTGTTTGCTGTCCTGGTTTCCAAAGTCCATAAATGCCAGTGATGATAGGCCTTAATCTTTACTGTACCAGGAACTACTAATGGAAGGTTCTATTTTAGATTCAGAAGGTAATCCTGGCCCTTGGAGACTACATGGGAGCAACATGCCATGCTTGTATTGGTGGCACAAATGTGCGCAATGAAATGCAGAAACTCCAGGCTGAGGCTCCACATATTGTGGTCGGAACCCCAGGGCGCGTGTTTGACATGTTAAACAGGCGCTACCTTTGTAAGTATGAACTCAGTCTGCTCTTAAATAAATTCCCAGTATAAATCTCATACCCAGTAAGAGCTTTTGCTGGAAAGCGTAGTACTAAAGGAGAATGATATTCGGAAAGGACTTGGTGTGTTTCTGAAACCTCATGAGATGCTACTTTGTTTTTTTCCAATAGCTCCTAAATGGATCAAAATGTTTGTTCTGGATGAAGCTGATGAAATGTTGAGCCGTGGATTTAAGGATCAAATTTATGAGATCTTTCAAAAACTTAGCACAAACATCCAGGTAAAAAGCTTTTACATGGTTAAATTGATGGATGCAGATTTGATTACAGTGTGGCTGAGAACTGAATTGTAGACATTGGTGTCCTGGGTACGTGCTAACACAGAGTGATGTGTTCCAGGTTGTGCTGCTGTCAGCTACAATGCCAATGGATGTGTTGGAAGTGACCAAAAAGTTCATGAGAGATCCCATCCGTATCTTAGTAAAGAAGGAAGAACTGACTCTGGAGGGTATCAAGCAGTTCTACATTAATGTTGAGAGAGAGGTTGGTATCAGTTGTACTGCTCTGACAGGACAGCTTAATCTCTTACCTTCTTGTTAAAGCACTGTACTAAAATTGCAGGAATCAAGGCTGAGCTTTGGTTTCTGCAGTAATGCTAGTAGAGTACATGCAAGAAGGAGAAAAATTCAGCACTGGATCGAAAAGACTAGGGTGGACCTCTTTCTTAATGTCCAGTGTCCTGTGTCTTAAGATTTGGTGCAACACTTGATGCAAAAATTTGACCTAGTTTCTTTGTTCCAACTTTCCAGATCATACTAAATATACTGTGTGTGAGAGGATGCTTCATTAGTTGTTTGTATTGGAGTTCTATTCCTTGTTTGGGGCTCTTATGTATGAGCTGTTCATGGCATGATGCATTTCCTTATCTTCCTTGTTTTCTTTTCAGGAATGGAAGCTGGATACTCTCTGTGATCTGTATGAGACACTGACCATTACACAGGCTGTTATTTTCCTGAATACAAGGAGAAAAGTAGACTGGCTTACAGAGAAAATGCATGCCAGGGACTTCACAGTCTCAGCTCTGGTAGGAATTGATACTTCCTCATCACTTCTGAAATGTCCTGTATGTACTGGGAAAGAAATGGTAATGAGGGGTATTAGAATGAGAAGCAGGAAAGTTATAATATAGCTGTGCAGTGCTGTATTATCGTTCCCCCTGCTTAAAGTAAAGTGCTTCCTTTCTATCCCTACCTGCTTCGTTCCCACAGCAGGTAGGGACGCTGGGTTTCACACATATGGTTGTTTCTTAAAGGATGTTCCAGTCTGGAGCATTGGAACTGTACTAACTGCAACTGTGTTTTAAATTCTCCAGCATGGTGACATGGACCAGAAGGAACGAGATGTTATCATGAGAGAGTTTAGATCAGGGTCAAGCCGTGTCCTGATCACCACTGACTTGCTGGTGAGTGTTACCTTACACTGAACATGTTTCTGTTGTAACCTAGTGCCAAAAGCTTCTTAAGTCAGTGATGGCTCTTGTAGCCTGAACTGTTGGGAGCCTTTTGGAAGAGCAAAGACCACGACTCCACTATGGACTGCACAGTTGTAGTTCATAACTAACAATGTGGCTGACAAAAAAACCTAGATAGTTAAATTTTTTAAGAAGCCTGTGACTTACATTAATGGCTCTGTGTTGCTTTCCAGGCTCGTGGCATTGATGTGCAGCAAGTGTCTCTGGTTATCAATTATGACCTGCCGACCAATCGTGAGAACTACATTCACAGGTCAGTGGCTCTGCCCAGTTTGTGTGCTCTGCTGAAGGTCACAGCAAGGGCACAGACCCTCACCTGTTCTTCCCTGTAGTCCTTGTCAAAACCAGGAGGTGTTACTCATCCATGCATACAGTAACTGCTCAAAAGCAAACAGAGAATAAAGCCAGTTGTGGATGGGCTTTAGAAAAGCCCTGCATTTGCACAGCTGTGGTTCTGAAACAAGGGAGGAGCAGGACTTTGGACAATAAAACAAAGCAGTGGGAAAACTTAGATGTTTAAGAGGATTGGTAATGGCTGATGATTGTTGAAGATGTGGGGAAAATGCCAGCTACTGAACTGCCTTTTGTCACATAGGCTGCGACGAGCAATGGCAAAGCCATTACTGGCACATTGACAGCAGCATCAGCTTAATTTGGGGTCCTGGCTGGTCTTGAGTTCGTTGCTGCTCAGGGACCAGACAGACCTTGCTACTTGTAGCAAGCGAGTTGTATAGGGCTGCCTTCACTTGTGGAGGTCCAGCTGTGTTCCTGTTGTGTGTGCCATGTTTGCTCTTGGTGGCTCCTCAGTGGGATTCTTTCCTCTGTGGTGTGTCTTCTGGTAGCAGTTTGTTCCCCTAGGTTTAGTTAACTGCTTCTAGTGATTGTCCCTAAATTAAGTAAACTGTGCTTTGTTACTTGATGTAAAAAAATACAGGAGTCGATAGCAGCAGTTGATGACACAAGATGGTGCTCAGAGCCGACGTTGATTTAGGACGTGGATTCGTAAGCGGCACAGTTTGAATAAAGAGCGAGTTGGTATTTATTTATTTCTTTTGTCATGATTATCCCCTAAGTTTTGTGAGCCATTTCTGTGTGTTAAGCTCTCGCTGGCAAGGTGCTCTACTGTGCAGTCTGTAGGAAGGTAGAGCTGATGATGGTGGGTGTAACTAAACAGTACTCAGCGATGTGTTAGTGACCAATGTGGGCTTGCACAAAAATGTTGGATGTAATTTTGCTTTTTAAAAAAAACAACAAATCCTAAGTTTTCCCACTGGAAACAGGTTGAACTAAACTTCTGAAGTTCAGTGTGCTGTTCTATATGTTACTGGATGTAACTGGATTTAGTAACAGTCTGATTGTTCAACAACAGCCTGTCTTCTGTGTGCCCTGTGCTTGGGATTGGATGCATGAGGGGTGGCTGTGCAGTTGAACAGAGGGGAGGGAGACTGACCCAGGACATTAAATAAAGGTCTTACTTTACAGCCTAAGAGTAACTGTGTCTGCCCTGCTGCCATTATGGGATGGACCTCTGCTATGCTGCTGGCAGCAACTGCTGGTTTTTCCTGACCAGAGGTGACTTTGGCGGCAGCTGGTCCTGTAAAGGCAGCCTAAGGCTGGCCAGTGGCAGATGAGAGCAGCAGTTTGTGAGTGGATCTTGCAAACATGTAAAGCAGGTTGGAGGGGTTTAACTTGGATGTAAATGTGCTTTCTTTTTGTGCAGAATTGGTCGGGGCGGCCGGTTTGGCAGAAAAGGTGTGGCTATCAATTTTGTCACTGAAGAGGACAAGCGGATCCTGCGAGACATTGAGACTTTCTACAATACTACAGTGGAGGAGATGCCGATGAATGTGGCCGATCTCATTTAGTCCCCGGGATGAGGTGGTTGTGAATCCAGTGCTCGCTGTTGCTCAATAGGCGATTCACAACGCGCATTGTGCTTCTTTCTTTGGGGATATATTGAATCTTGTCTCAATGCTCATTACGGATCAGAAATACAGATTTTTGATAAGAGAAGCGACTTTGTGTCGTGAGCTCTTGTGGGGAAAGCCATTGGCTTTGTCCACTTTAGGGTTAGACTGTTGGGGTTGGGTGGAAAGTCATGGGGTCTGTAAATTTTTTCTTTATTAGAAATTTATTTCCTAGTTCCATAGAAGTGGTTGTATTAGATGTTCTTTATCATTTAATAATTTACTTATGGACTAAAAGATATAAGTGCTGTATAAAGTCAGCCAATTATGTTAAACTAGCCTACCTTCCTTTATTGTATGTACTTACACCTCAGATTAAATTGGAAAGGCCTTTCAAAATCTCTAAACTTTTATAAGAGCATTAAAATGCATTTTTGTTTCATATGTATTTATTCAATAAAGTATTTAATTAGTGGTAAGTGTGATTTGGACCCTGTTGCTAAGCCCCAGCAAGCAAGCAATCATACTATTGTCTTAGTTAGGGTTAAACCCAGTAAAATTTGCCATATTGCACATGTCTTAATGAAGTTTGAATGTTCAATAAAATACTTCTATATTCACTTAAACTGTAAATAGTTGCTTCTTGGGTAGAGGGGTCTCACTTAGAAGGGTGCCAGCAGCCTGGGCTGTCTCAGGGTGGGAGCTGAAGGTGACAGGGCCCAGCAGGCAGCTTTGTCATTAATGCAGGGGTGTTTCTGGACTAGTACTGGGTGAGCTCCAAGTGCCAGAGGCTGTCCCTGTGTGACACAGCTCAGGGGTGCTGGACAAGTGTCCTTGACACTGAAACACCCTTTCATCAGTGTAGAAAATGGCTCCCTTAATAATCTGTGCTGGTTGATAAAAACTCCCTGCACTGCAGCATTTTAGCTTCATTCCTCTACAAGGGCTCCTTTTTTTAACTGCATTCAGGAAGGTGGAACAGGTGTTCAAAGCATCTCTGAAGGGAAATGTCCCAAAGCTGCTTGACCACCACAGAGCTGTGTTCATCCAGGTCACAGCTTCAAAACTGGGTTTGTGAGCAAGAACAGAGTAATGCTCAGGCAGTCTTAAGTAACATCTTTTGAACATGACCTGCCCTGCAGATTTTTTCTTAGTAGCTTGAGTGAAGTAAAAGATGCACCATGCTTACTAGAAAACTATTTTTGCAACATTTAATACTAAAGCATCAGATACAAGATAGAGGTGGCACAGAATCTTCCTCCAGGAGCTGAGTTCAGTCTGAAGCCAAGTTCAGTAGGGATGTGATCATTTTGCTAAGTCAATTCATTCAAAACTAACAGGGACTGCAATGAATAACTCCTCTTTCTCTGCTTGCAGCTGATAATGTGTCCAGTCTATGCACATTTTTTGATGACTTTACCTTTCCAAGTGTAAGTGCAACACAGAAGCATTACTGACCCCTCTGCTCTTTAACCCAGTGTAAAAAAATGAATCAAATACTCCAACATGAGCTTTTCCAACTGCTGAAGCAGTCCTTTTATTGCAAAAACAGTACAAAAGTTCATGGGTCTCTGGTCTCAGAGCCGCAGCCACCCCTGGAACAAAGGGCTGCTGGAGGAGTCAGGTGTTCTGTGTGAGCTGCTGCATCACAAGGGCACAGAGACTCATCAGCTGCAAAAATTCGTCAGCACCATCTGCCAGGCATTTGTCCACTTCCTGCAGACAGAACAGAGGAGGTAAAACCCTCTGAAAATGGTGCTCCTGGCACCTGTGTCTTGGGGTACAGTGGAGAACCCCAAGGTGGAGTTTGGCAGCTGTTTACTGAATTGGCACAGATTTCTCCAGCAGTCACACACTGCACACCCCTCCTACTGAAGTGGGAACAAGAAGCTCTGCAGCCTCCATCTTCCTGGGGAGGCCACAGCAAGGCAGCTCCACAGACAAAGAGATGTGCCTTTGGCTCTGAAATGACCTGCCAGGAGCATCCCTGCAGGGCATGGACACCACCTGCCTGTCTGCAGTGAATTTAGCAAAACCTCCACCACTGCTGCCTCTTCTTCTAGGTCAAAATTTAGCAAGTTAATGAATTTTTTTTTAAAGGTGTATTTTACACATCAGAACAAAAACTTGCATTTTGCAGCTCCTAATTTTTTTGAGGCGATGACTTAATTTTGTCCTAATTTTTCCTCCCACCTTACATGAAAAACAACCAAACCCACAATCCTCTTGCTTGAGTCCCACTAGAACAACATAATATGATCAATAATTCACTTAACTGGGGTTCAATTCCTTCTCATGAAATTTCTCAGCATAAAAATGTAGGTTCTACCAAGAAACACTCAAAACAAAAAAATGATCATGTACCTCTTGGGAGAGACCCTACAAACAAAAATTAATCAGTGAAGATTAACATGGTTTGGTTTTTTTAACTGAAGCTGCAGACTCACCGCAAGTTTCTCCACTATGACAGATTTCTGCTTGTCACTGAAATCTTCACTCTCCACCACCGTGTCGTGCAGCTGGTTTACAAGCTGAGCAACAGCAAACCCCTCATTGATGAGATTCTGTGCCAGGGAGAGAGGAAAATGGAGGTAATTCAACTGGAAACCCAATCTGAAAAATTCTGTCTGAACTGAAAGACTGTGCTGAAATTTAGTATGGAACTCCTACATTTTGGAGGACAGTTCAGTAGCTTGTGCACAGCCCTGCCCTGCATCCTGCCTGCCAGAGACCCAGAGTGAGCAGCCAGGAAAGGCTGCACGAGCAAGGCAGGCACAGAGCAGTAATTTTGCCCAAATGTTCTTCCAGCTTCTGACAATTCACATGTCGGGGATTTTGTGAGACATCTTAAACATTTAACAACCTCCACCAAACCTGTCCAATCTTACTCTAAAATCAGGAAAGCCTGGCATCCACAGCATCATGTGGCAGTTTCACAGCCTTCCCATTTTAAAGTGCCACCAACTTTGATTTATTTTCTTCATCTGGTTGTTGCTAGTCTCAGGCATACAGAGATCTGTAAGGCCAAGGCTCTTTTACTAAAATAAAACCCATGGTAACTAAAGATAGCTTTTTAAAAAAAAGCAGTAGTGCCCAGTTACAAAACCAACAAATACTGAGAACAGTGGTCAATGAAGCCATTTAGGAAGAAAGAAGTTTATGGAAATAGAAAAAGAGTTGGTGCAACCTTATTTTTCTGTACAGCTAAATCCACTCCCATGCTTTACAGAACTGTGTGTCCAATTGTGCCACCCACCACGAAGCACCTACTCTGGCAAGTGGAGAACAGTTACAAACCACTCCATTACATTAGATCAGATCACGGCCTGATAAAAGACCCTGAAGGTTTGGATAATCCACATCATCACCTCTTAGGATCAACACAGTTTCAGACACCATGTAAGTCAATGTGAAAGTGTAAGACAGGGACATCTGCACAAACCCTTGCACAACAATTTTAAGATCTGCTGCAAGTTTACAGGAGAATAAATCCAGACTCAAACTCAAAGGTCCTGCCAAGACTATCCAGTGAGGCTCAGCCAAGCAAAGAGCAGAAGGCTGATCATAGTGACTTTTTTCATAAAGCCATGGAACATTTCACTGGAAGGGGGAATGGTACTGTGGCTGGCTCTCTGTCAGGGACAACTCCTTGAGTTAAAATCCAGTTCAAGACTGACTGAACCTGCTTTAACCTCTCAAGATTAGAAATTTCCCATTATTCAGAAAAATTCTGTATTAAAGAAAATAAACCCACCACTATAAAACAGTAGCTTGTGCTTTCTCCAGCAAGGTCTATTTTAAGTCACTGCAGTTTGTCTTACAAACTTAATCACTAGTGCACCATAAGATTACCACAAAATATTTTAAAACTGAAGAGTTATTACAGCTTTACTCAGATACTTCTCATCTAACACAGCTTCTGAGTAATGAAGATGGTGACTAGTCCAGGGACTACTACAGTCCTCTGAAGAGACAGTTCTAAAGGCCTGAGCCAAGTGCCTCCCTCAGAAATGCTACTCTGCCTAATTCAGCCAAACAGCTCCACGTGCCACCAGTTTAACTCAGGAGAAAACAGTCCCACTGGTAGGGAAGTTTATTTGCAGCTTTGACAGCTCTTCCTCAGAAGGGAAAGCCTGGAGTTCTAACTGGTAAAAGACACTTCCCAAAACGTGCATCCAAACTGATTGAGGCCAATGTTCTGCTGCTGCAGCCCAGCAACAAAGGATTCAAAGGGCAGTGACTGAGGAAAATATTCAGGCTGGAGCACTAAGAGGACTTTACCTTTGCCAGTGTTTCCAGTTTCTCAAAGGAACCACTCTGGCAACCCAAGAGCAGTTCATCAATTGTCTCTTTAGGGATGACCTGCAACAAGAAGTGACATTTCTTAATTTCTACTTTGTAAACTTAAAATTGATGTCGATACTTACAGTAACAGATCCAAACTGCTCATGGCAGAGGCCATTTCAGCATTTCATTCCTCTGCACACCCAACCACTTCAAGCAAGTATATGATAGACCCACTAAATTTTGAAAGTGAGAGTTAGGCTTTAATATTTGTCCTACATTGGTGACATTAAAACAAAAACCATAAAGACAGTGAACTGTCAAAGTCACCTTCATGAATCCAACACACAACTGTTATTCAGGACACTACGTGGAGGACAGACTTCAACACTGAGATCAGCCAATGCTTTCTGCACCACTCTACACTAAAACAACACAGCAAATCAGTTTTATTTCCAAAGACACACCAGGGACATCCAAAAAAAGCCCAATGCACTAAGATCAGACAATAAATCAGAAGAAAAAAGGTTGACAGATGCCATTATTTTGCTCTATGCAGGGAAGAGCTGCCCATTTTCCCTTCTACTCACTGTCATTCCTGTCGGTTGAGTGTCTGGATAGTTTGTTTTCAAAGCTTCTTTATTAATCTTTTGTACTAAGGTCACTCCAGGGTCACAGAAGTTATGTATGACCAAGAAGTTCATGTTTTTATGAAGATGTAAAGTTGAGTTCCTTTGGTTTAAACAAGCATGACTCATTCAATAATGGAATTTCATGCTTCTCTTTCCTGTCATTACAGTCAACTTCTGCCAGGTTTCAGATATCTGATATCTATTCAGATATCAGCTCTGTTTTACTGCTAGATACACAAAACTGAACAATGACTTCACTGAGAAAATTGCTTAAAATTGTTCTGTAAAACACTGCACAGAAGCAATTGCCTCTGGTTCCATTAAAGTGAAAACCTCCCAGCCCTTACAATCACCTATGATGGCAGCACCTTCAAGGGAAATGCATCCATCATTAAAGCCCATTTATTTTTCAGCTCCTCAACTCCTAATCTCACATTTCTTGCTTTAGGGGTAAGTGTTTTGTTGCTATAGGAACACCTTCACACATGTTTTGTTAAATGCATTTCCTCCCAGGTTTCTCCTGTCCCTGTCAGTATTATCTATGTCATTCTAGAATAAATCACTGCTGTTTTGTTAAAAAGCAGAATCTACACAGATCCTTGAAGAGCCACTGTCACTGTGAACATTTAAGTTGTAAATGAGCTGCTACTGAAAGTCATTCCACTGTGGTGCTTCCAAACCATATTTTCAATGATCTATACTTATATATATATACACACATATATAAAAGCACCAAAAAATGTTCTAATCTACTGTTCCACAACAGGCAATACATTTTGCATTTATGGGCAGAATATTTCAACCTGTTTGAATTATAAGACTATTTTACAGTTTACCATGATCTACAGAACAAGCTGCTAGAAACTGGCTACGTAGTAAGTGTACAGAACCAGGCAGTCTTTAAAATTCTGGTGGATACTCTATTGTACCATACTGCAATACTTGTGGGTATCGAACAATTTTTTAATCCAACTTTAAGTAACAGTAGATAAGGGTAACAAAATGCTTTTCAGAGTAATTTCAGGAGAAACTGCAAAGCATAGCTTACCCCAGCAATTTCAGTGACTATCTTCTCTGTGATCTCCTTCCCACCCATTAGGCGAGTGGCACTTTGAAGGAAAGTAATTGCTTTTCTTAAATCTCCTTCTGACACTTTCACAAGGTATGACACTGCCTGAAAAACAATGTCAGAATATACTAAATTATATGCTCACTGTTAATTAAAATCCAGTACACTTTTTTAACACAGTTATTTTAAAACATCAAGTAGTGCCTAAAGCAGATTTTCAGAGCCAGGCACAATACACAAGTCACAAAGCAACCTCTCTAGTAACACAAATGTGTGCTGGCAGTTTCAGAATGAAGCATGGTTTAATGCCAGTGCACTTAGCAGAGAATAAAAAGCCCTACAGTTTAGCTTCAGTCTTCTCTGGTGGACACTTCTCTGGTTTTAGGACAACTCTTAAAATTCATCTCGTCTACGGAAGGAGAATAATACCTAAATGAGTTTATGTATTGCATTTCACACTGTTGAGCAGCCTGGAAAAGTATGCTGACTTGGCCTCTTTCACTGCCATGCAGTTATGCACTGGATTAAGCAATAAAACTACATGGCAACCACGAAGTTACCTCATTACTGATCTTCACATGCTCCTTCTCAGAAACGTCCAGCAGCCGCTGCTGTTGGACACTGTCTGACAAAGGCTTGAAGCGGAATTTGGAGCATCGAGATGTTAAAGGTTCAATTATTCTGAAAGAAAGGAATGTAAGTGTTTGGAAAATCAATGTGTGGGTCAAATTCATACAAACAAAGCTATCAAGGCGGAAAAGGTTTAAATAACCTTAAAACTGCAACACTGTAAAAAAAAAAGTTGAAACCTAAATATTGTTTCAGTCTTGCATTCGTATAGTTACATCTCTACTGACTGAAAACTATGAAAACTAGATATCAATCTCTTAGTGGGGAAAAAAGAGACTACAGAACAGGCAATAAGTCCAAATAAGCAAAAAGTCCCATGTGTACCTGCTGATGTAGTTACAAATAAGACAGAAACGTGTTGTTTTAGATTCTTTTTCCATGGTGCGTCTTAAGGCTGCCTGGGCTGCTGAAGTCATTGAGTCTGCTTCATCCAGGATCACAATTTTAAAAGGAGGACACATTTTACCACTGAAAAGTAAGAAGAAACCTGTTATCCAGGAGACATGCAATGCACAGATCAAGGAAAAACAAACAAACAAACAAACATAAACAAAAAAAGGAATGCAAATAGCAAATCATATTTTACTTGAGAATGTATACTTGATAAACATGACACATTCAGAGGTTCTATCTTTTTTTACTATTTTTAGATAAAAAACTAATATTTGTAATTAAGGGGGAGGCGAGTTCCCATGGAAAGAGCAACTTGAATGCTGCAAAAGTCCTCTAAAACACATACTTTTGCTTCTTCTTCTTTCAACACCTAATGTAGCTCATCTTTTTACAGGTTTCCTGATTCCCTGAACTCCAAAGAACACTGCAACAGATTGATTTCAGTACATCATTTTTTGCCAGACAGTCCTGGCATGCAGTTTCTTCCTGCTACTTTCCACAGTCCACACACATGGCTTGACTTGCACAGAGTTTCTCATCACCTAATGCCAGAATCCTTTCGGCATCTTACAAACTGAACCCATCTTGTGTGAGATCCTCCACTAGGGAAGTAACTTCCACCATGATTTATGCAAAGAGGTTTTTCTATGGTAGTCAAACATCTGCAAAGACAACAATGTATGACCAAACCCAGAAGTTTTGATCTTACAGGATTTTCCCTGTCTGCCTCCAACGCTAACAGCACTAGCAAAAGATCCTCCTGGGCATTCAAACCCCCCAGCCTGAAATTCCAGGAAGCCAAAGCTCAGCCAAAGCACTGTGTGTTGCCAACTTTTGGGCAGTGCTGACCCATCATTCATATTGGAAAAAAACCCCAACCACATGCTTTGTCCAAAGCAAGAGGGGTTTGATCCAGCACTTACTCTGAACGGCTCCCAGATGCAGTGAGCTGAGCAAAAGCCTTCACTTTTTCCCGAATCACTTGAATTCCGCGCTCATCAGAAGCGTTTAACTCAAGGACTCTTTGCCGGAACAATTCAGGCCTGCAAAAGTTTTATTACAACATGTCAGCTGCTAACCCTTGTAATGATACACTGTAGAGTATATCAACAACCCTTCTGGCTGCTTTGAATGGCAGGGATTATTTTTATCAGCATTACTAAATAACATTGTTAAAAGACAGTAAAGTTGAGATCATTAAATGTTAGGTATGAATTTCCATTGGCTATTTTTAGAATCTCCTCCCAGGCTACAGAAAACAATGAAGTATAAAATTACATCAGTTATCCAGGGAAAAAAAAAAGTAGGAAGTTGGCTTCATAAGTTCAGAGTACTATATTATCTGCCTTTTTACTTATATCCTGAGAGCAATGTGGAATAACAAGTAAAATGCCAAGATACAGTCACTGGCAGTGCTACCAAATGAATTATCTACAAAGTATAACACGTGGTATTTAGCAGCAGTACTACACACCAGCAACTCTGATTAAAAAAAAACAACTGAACAATTAATACACAGGATTTATAATCCTGGGAATCAAAATGGACTCACAATGTGAAGTTGTCTTCCTACTACTTAAGTAGAAGTGGTTCTCTCCAAAAAACAATGAGTCAAAAATTAAAGATGATGAATGGGATGGGGGGAGGTACTGAACTCAGCACTAGATTTGATCATAACATCAAACACCTCCTCATCCATTTTTTGCTTATGGATCACTGAATTCACTACTCAAAAACTCCCAAGTGTTACAAGAGAGCTGATGAATGTACACACACTGAATTTCAGTCTGACTCCCATACTACTCCCAGACACAGTTCAGTGGTGCACAGACGAGAGATTACAATTCAGACAATGTATGAAGTACTCAGAGAACAACTTACTGAATAAATCATAAAAACTGGAATTCCTTTACAAAGTTCAGTAAGGCAGATGCAAGTCATATTTTTTTCCTTACTCTGCTATAGGGTTACATGGCTGTTAGTGTTAAGTGTTGTAAGTCTATACTGGTAACAGAAACCAATAGCTTGTGGCAAGACAAATGAGAAAGAAATCTCATGTTGGAGCAGAATTAGAGTGTGAAGATATTCCTGAAAAAATCCTGGAAACTACATAAAAGCAGGCAATGACCAGAGGCACTGTGTCACATGATTAGAAGACGTGACAGTCGATTACACCAAAGCAACTTGATTTCAGCTTACCCAAAGAGTTCTCTAGCAGCTGCTAAAATAGTGGAAGTCTTTCCAGTTCCAGGTGGGCCATAGAACAACAGATTGGGAAGCTGAAACAGCAAGGCACCATTTTAAAGAAAAATAAATGAGCAGAACAAACAAAAACCAGCAAAACCTACTGAAAACCTGAGCATCTAATAGAACAGAAACTATCTACTCCTTACAGTAAACAATATCAAGTCTTTCACTACTAGGTCTCTAAAGGAGGACAAACAGTTGCTGTTTATAAGGCAGCATGAACAAGCTGTTATTTGGTGGCACCATCACATGTTCTATCAAAATGAATATTCCCTTTTTTTTTTAATATATATAGATACTCCAGGACATGTCTGAGATCACTAAGGCCTTCAGAATTTACTGCTATGACTGCAGTGACATACAAATTTATTCAAGGATGACTTTCAAGCAGCCTGGATAACACCAGCAGTGCACTGTGACAGCACTGGTCACAGGTTAACTATGCCTTGCTTTCTCAGCTCCCCAGACTGCCTGCTCAAGCCATGCTGGGAATTCTCCAGTGCAGTGAGCACAGGGCAGCTCGGGAATGGCTGTGATGGATTCAGGGAGGGCAGTGCAGACACAGCCACAGGGACGCTCCCAGTGACTCACTGCACTGCACAGCCCTGCCAAATTCACACCCACCCAAGGATTTTTCAAAGGAGACCAGTGGTATTTCTTAAAGAGATTAGGTTAATTGATCTTTAAAATAATTTAATTAATGACCTCAGCATGAAAAAAAAGACAGCATTAAGGAAATATGCTGACACAGGAAGATCAAAGCAGCACAGCAAAGGCTGCAGTAATAATTATAGGATGACATTTAGCAGCACGAAGCAAAACAACCTCCCAGTTTGAGAATATAACTAAATATCTGCTAGATACCTGAAAATCATCAACTGGAATAAAAGATGGTTTTGTTTTGTCTGTCAGAGAGCTACCATAAACCAAATTTGTATAAGCCATGACTGAATTTTGCCTGAAATCAAGAAGCTTTCTAACTAGCACAGGAATGATAGCTTTCTATACTATCTCAATTAATCCCTTTTATAAATTATCACTTTGAAACTGCTCTTTAACAGTAGGAGATGTTCCAGTTCTACACTCTTAAAACAAGAATCCAAAAGTCCCCTCTGATCAACAGCAAAAAGACAAACCTCTCAGTCTGACTTGATTTCCAGCCCTTAATAAATGTTCTATTTTTAAAAAGAGTCAACTAAAATTAGATTAGAGAATTCTACGCTGAATATAGCATGCAATGCTGACAGAATGGGAACAGCAAAACCAAAACCATTCAAAGAGCAGAGAAAAATGCAGAAGTACACAATCCATAATCAAAAAATGAAATAGAGACAATCATTTTGGTACCAACCAACCCATTCTAACAACTGAGACATGACACAGAGAACAGACTCAACTGTGCATGTACTGTAAAAGTAGAGAGAAGAATTTCAATCTTCCATCAATTTCTAGTAAATAAATAATTTTCAAGTTTTGCCTGCTTTTTCTGCCAATCAATCATTGCTTGTTTCCCTAACTACTAACAAGCAAACTGCATCACATACTAACATTTTTTCAAATTGAGATACACACAACATTGTTGTGCTCCTCTATCTTTTACGACAGCTCCAGGGAGATGAAATATGTACTGAATGACAGCTGAAAATTCACCAAGCTCTGCAAGGGCAGATATTTTCAAGGAGATTCATAATTTCATGCCTCAATGCTAATTCACACACTACTAGTTCTCAAAACAAGTTTTAATAAGAAACTGTTTCTTAATTCCATTACACCTCTACTTTATTACTGCTTGTTTCAACTTCATTTATGCCTTTTCTCATGGAAGTATTTACACTACTTTTTCACCAAGCACAGCCTAATCCTTTATGTAACTGTGGCAGTATTTTTAAACAAACTGCAACCTGATCTGGTTCTGCATTTTTCTACGCTTGCCAGGGGTAAGCAGGACACCTGCAGGCATCACCCTGTGTATGGGAAAGTCACTGCATGTAGTGCAAACCCCAACTCCTTTTCCAGAAGTTTCAGCACAAGTGAAGATGTAAATTGCAATGATAATCCTACACTTCACTCTTTTTTCAGTCACTGAGGTATCATGAAGCAAATGAAAACTTAGGAATACTGTGCCACTTGTCAGATTCTTTGCAAAAAACACGAACAAATGAACAGTCCTGGCAGACAGAAATCAACTGCTCCAGTTCAAACCCACTGGGACTCTGGTCTCCACAGTTTATAACAGGACGGATGCTTGCTCTTACAGATGGAGATATAACAGGGAGTTACAAGTCCTGCTGCATTCAGAAGCTCCCAAACCAAGGCCCACAAATACAGGCCAATCAACAGAGGACTAGTTATCCATTCTCAACACTAAGGTTTAAATAAAGCACATGACACAAACCTACAGCGTTGTCACAGCTGTTTCTTTGATCTCCCCAGATCTCCAAATTCAGTAAGAACTTCTGAATAAGTACCAGCCACCTCAGAGTTTCAATTACACTTCTCCCTTTTTGACAGAATAAGTCCTTTCAAGAACTAATAAAAATGTCCAAATTTTAAAAAACGTCAAATATGAAGTACCTGCATGATTTTGTCCTCAAATACCTCGCTGAGTTTGGGTTGCTATGGCAAAACACAAAGCCTCTAACCACAAGCAGAAGTTATGATTTGTGTGTTCAACTCAGGAGGCCAAAAGTCCAGGCTCTGAATCCAAGAAACACAGCTGATCCAGAAGCTGTAAGGTTTTAAATAACTGTTGCTCAAAATAGAACTTCCCAACCCATAACCTAAGTGATGTTACATAACTGATATGTCCAGACAGAAGAGGTGGCAGCACCTCATTTTCCCTTGACTGTTAACAGTTCCTTCCTAATTACCCCAACTGTACAAATACTGTAAAACAGCAGCATTAGTGTTGAAACACAGATTTCTGTGGGTACAACACTACGTGACAAGGTTACATCACAACAGCATTCTCAAAGCAAATTGGAGACATGAACTAAAGAAACAAATACAAGTCCTTCCAGTTCTGTCACTGTGGCTCCCCACGCTCAAACAAATAAGGTACTTTTGCTTTTCCAAGTTCTAATTAGATTTTCAGAGGGAAACAGACTCACACCAGTCAAAATAAAAACTGCAGAGAAAATTGCTAAAAGTTTCAAGTACCAAAGACTCCCTGTGCATATTGAGCACTAGAGCACACTATGAGTGAACAGCTTCTTGAATAAAACTCTGAAAGGTCCAAATTGCTTCATTTAGATCTGGGTGAGCAGACAGTCATATCACAAATGGTATTTTCAGAGCATCCCTGCCAACCATCTCAGGTGGCACCATCAGATCACAAAAACAAAACCGGTTTTTGAAGCACAAGAATGACAATTCTAGGTGAAGCATGGAGGAAAAAAGGTCTCAGCTTGTACAAAGGAAGAAATTGTTCTGATTTGAAAAAAAAAAAAAGCATGGCTATCTCTTGGCTACCTACTTTATCTCTCCCTTCATTCCTTGCACCTTCCCATCAGCTGGTTTGGAAGAAATAACCATCATACATACCAAACATTTACTAAATTTTTATCCAAAAGCAAATGCAACTGTAAACAAATGCAACTGAAAATGCTCTGCTCATCTTCTTTATACTCTTAAGTCACAGAAGAAAACACTGCAGTGAGGTCAGAGCAGCTGTCACACTTAGATTTTTAGAGCCAAAGAGACTTACTTTGAAACTTTAACCCAAACAGTTTGAGGATCACTATCCAAGTAGTAGGCCTGGCACTTATAAATTAAATTTCCCTCATTAGCAAACAGTTTTAGTGTTTAGCAGTTTCACAGAAGCACTGATAGGTCACTAGAACTGTTTAGGAATGACTGGCAATCCAGTCATTCTTTCCTCTCTTCTCTTAAACATGAATATCAAAAATACTTGTGGAATAGAAGTGAGGAGACAACAAAGACCTTTTCAGATTTGAAGCCACCAACAAGAAGTTTACCATTTGAGCTTTTCCAGAAAAATTCCAAACTGTATCATGGAGCTGACACCTTTACAGTGTTTGGAGGGCTGGAAATACCACAAGCTTTACACACATATCACAACATTCAGTGAGGAAGTCACTTGGCTTGTTCGTAAAGTACCACTGCAAAAACGATCATTGCTGAGTTGGAAAAGAGGAATTTTCATTACCACTGGCTCGAGTGTCTGTCTAAACTTGCTGATTAGGTAGATGTTACCATTACACTCACATCAGCACCTTCCAGGGACTTCTTCAGCACAGCAACAACTTCATCCTGGAAGGCGACTTCATCCACATTTTTGGGGCGACTAAATAGAAAGACATTAAGTACAATTTATTAGCTAACAAAGTTTCAGAAACAAGCTGAAATTGAGAAAAACAACATTACATCAGGTACTTTAGAATTACAGTGGATTTTCTAGTTGAGGTCAAAACCATAACAGAAAATCTAACATCTCTGGTCCACATTACCGAAGTGATCTAATTCCTCGGGAAGCTGTTTGTCTTTTTCTGTTGTAAACACCTGTCAGAGTTGTTTTTAGAAGTGGAATTGCAATATTTTACCACTTTGTGGTAAAGGCTCCACAAACGCTTACGCACAGAACCACAGCGATGAAACTGCATCGCCTGACATCCACAAAGGGCTCTTACAGCAGCTCACAGTGCTGGGTTTCATCCAGAACAGGGCAAGTTAAGCTGTTCTCCCTGGTTGGGACACCTACAGCTGCGACCCCCCTTGCTATGCACCCACTGCCTCTCCACACCCTTCCCGACCCAACCCCTCCTTCACGGCCAGCGACCTCAGAGCATCCCTTACTATTTCTCCACCCAGGGGATGGGTTTGGTCCTCTTGCTCTCCCCGCTGCTCCCCGCCGCGCCCTTTTCCTTGGCAGCCACGGGCTTGGTGCTGATGGAGGACGGGCCTTTCAGGAACGCCTGCATTGCTGCGGCGGTGCCCGCTGTGCTGTTCTGTGCCGGGCTGTGCCGTGCCAGACCCGTCCGGACCCCCCTTCACAGACCCCCCTCAGCCGGAGCCCCCCAGGCTCCTCAGGCCTTTCCCGCCAACCCGCCGCCGTTGGGGGCGGGGCCGCTTCCGCCCGCCAGGAGCCAATGAGAGAGCGCGGTGCCGCCGTCGGGGGGGGGGCGGTGACGTCACCCCGACAGCCGAAGGGGGAGGGGGGCGGAGACGATGCGCGCGCCGAGGGCGCGAGGCGGGCGGTGCCTGAAGGAGGGCGCGCGCCGCCCCCTCATAAATGGCGCGGCCCCAAGGTGGAAAAAAGAACAAAAAACCCCATCAAACCCCCAAATATAACCCCTAAAAAATAATACAAAACCCCTCAAAAGAACAAGCGCCGTACGACAGCAAGCGGGGGAGGGGCTTCTCTTTCCGGTGGGAGGTCCTGAGGCAGCGGCCTCTGCCGTGACGGCCGAGGTTCGTCTTGCGGGCTCTGAAGGTGCCACCAAGTGAAGTGAAATGAAACCCAGAGGAGCCCGAGGCCTTCACGGGCCTGTCCTGGGTCATACATTTGCGGCTGTACGGGCGTCGTTGCTCAGCCCTGCCCCGTCCCCCGCAGCCGCCGTGAGCGCGGCTTCCCCCGGTGTGCGGGCTCGGGGGTCATTGGCGCTCAGCTGAAGCGAAAGCGAATCCCTTGTGCTTTCCCGTTACCTCTAATAAACTCCACTACAGTAAAGCCAGAGGGGAAGATATTGAGGAGTGTGATTGATGTGACAGATGCCTTTAAATGATGAAAAGGTGTCCTGGTAGATGTGACAGTCGTGGTGCACGCCCACGTTTCCATGTGCTGGGTGGCTGCAGCTTATCCTCCACCAGCCTCCACACACCAGCTCTGTGGATAAAAAAATGGAAGTATTTCTGCTGCCAGCAGCTGTGTATTGTGTGGCTGCAGATGTTCTGCTTTACTATTTTCCTTACTCCTGGCCACGAGGCACAGACAGAGTAGCCTGGGAAGCTGCAGTAGTGATCCCCCAGAATAGAGCTTGTGGAAGGGAAAAAGAGATTGGAAATGGTCTCTATGGTAACAGAGGAGCAGCCTTTGGAAAAGGAGATGTGGGGAAAAATTTAGGCTGAAAATACATCAGTCAGTGGGACAAACCTGTAATCCTTCTCTGGGCAATTTTAAATAAGCTGTTTCCTCTCATCTGGCATTCTGCCACGAAGAATGAAATCCAGATTGTGGCCTTAGCAAGAAAAGCCCACACATATAATTACTGAAGTTGTCTTGTTTTAGATGAAAATGCAATGATCTTTTTTCCCACTGTAATTATATTTGGTACTTCCAAGTCATGGTGACGACTGATTTCTGAAATCAGTTTCTTTGTGAAACTCTATAAAGCTTTGTTGTCTTTTTGAAGCTTAGTTCTTATTGGTGGTCTGTATTCAATCCACTCTCCTTAGTGGGGCCACTTCAAATATACCTGGCATTTGAGCATTTTGTCAACTTTCTATGAGCATCAAGTTCAGTTCAGCAGTGGAACTTCCTGTCTGCTACATTAACTTAATTTCATAACACAACTTTTTGTTTCATTACCTTAACAAATGTTTAAAACTGGAGAAAAGAATAATGAAACCCAAGCTTTTGTCTCTTACTCCCTGTTTTTCTCTCCCTTCCCCTCATATATACAAGGACTGGAAATTATGCTTGCTCTGTTCTATTGAATTACATTCACTCACCGTCTTAAGGTCCAACAGATCGAAATCAGGCAGTTACCATGTCCTCTCATTTGCTTCTCTCCAGCATTTCCCATGTCATAGGCTGTGATTTACACCAGCCTAGTCAGTGCTTCTTGAGCTGACCTAAATGGAAAGCCTGGTCCCTTTCCTTCCCAGTTGTTGTGGTTTAACCCCAGCCAGCAACTAATTCCATGCAGCAGCTCTGTCACTGCCCCTGTCACCCTGAAGGGGTGGGGAGGAGAATCAGAAAAAAAAACCCACAACAAAAAGTAAAACTTGTGGGTTGAGATAAGAACAGTTTAATAATTAAAAAAAGTAAAATATAATAATACTAGTAATACTGAAGATAACAACAAAAATAATGGTAATAGTAATAATTGTAATGGAAAAGAGAGAGAGAGAAATAAAACCCGAGACAGGGAAGTGATGCACACTACAATTGCTCCGTCCCTGCTGACCAGTCCATCTCCAAGTGGCCTGTTTCATACACTCTTTCCTAAGTGTATATTAATGGTCCTGCTCACAGATGGACCACTGTGTCAGGACAGCTGTTCTGGAGCACAGACAGTGAATGATTGATGTAAATGATGGTGACAAAAAGGTTTATGATGGAGAACGAAGAAAGGGACAAGAGCAGAGAGCTTTGCTAAAACTAGTGTCTTCAGTGCCCTCTTTTTCTTCAAAGTGGATGTTAGAGGAAGCTGTGCTCCTTTTTAAAGAGCTGAAATGGCCCCTGAGGCAAAGCAGGTCAGTTTTTGCAAAGTTTAGGTAAGAGTCAAAGTGTGAGGGTAGAGCCCCTGGTGTTGCCAGGGGAGCTGTGTGTGGAGAAAGGGTGTACATGCAAGTCTTGGCAGAGAAGCCCACATTTGTCACAGCAGTTGGCTGAGAGGACAGTGGAAAGTCAAGAACAGCAGAGAAGCACCAGCACTGTGACCCTCTTAGAAGCCAAGCAGAAGCACAGTTCACTGAAATGTTCCAAACAGAACAAAAGTAAGAAAACTCAAAATATGGTGTGCTATTTTCCTTTACTGTGTGATTGATGTTCCAGAAAGGAAGCAGCACTGTGTGCCTTCTTTGTGGGTATGAATCAAAGAGATGTCTGACTCATTTAATAGTTTCTTCTACTAATGAAAATGTACTGTAGGTCTGAGGTGCTGCCATAGCCAGTAAGAAGTGGTGACAGTGTAATTACCTTTCCCAGTTGTGCCAAAAGTGTTATAGTTCTTCCCAGCAATACAGCCCCCACCTTTGATACAGAGATCAGACAGATATAGGCAAAAGTTAAGGGAGGGAGAGGTATGATACCAAAGTAGCTTGTTTTCAAAAGAAGAAAATTGGGAAAGGGATCCTAAACTTCTCTGTTATTCCATCAGCCTGCTTTTTTTGGTCCTGCTATGGAAGTGTCTTCAGATGCACTCTGCACACCAGAAGGTTGTAATCTTGTTCTGGAAGGAGATTCTCATGAAAAACTAAAAGATGGGTGAGCTTATAAAGGTTATGTGGGACTGGGAAAATGGAAATAATCAAGACAGTGAAGAAGATAGGCTAGTGTCATGGATGGATCTTATTTTGATTCTCACTAGCCCTTCAAGCTCAGTTGATTAAATGTTTCTTAGTGACAGAAGAAAGATTAATAGCTATATAAGATGAAAAAGAAGAAAAGATCAATTTTTTTTTTCCTGTGAGAGTTTCCCCTTCCATCTGGTCAGGTCATAGAATCTTGTAAACACTTTTTGTTTTCAGTGTGCAATTTACTGCTTATTAAAATTGCTTACAATGTTTTGGCCTCAGCTGTTTGATTCAGGATCTAATAAACAGCTGGTGATTTGTCAGGCTGTCACTCTATGGAAAAATCAAATTCTTTTGCCTGTTGGCCATCATTTTAATAGTGGAACCATGGTGTTTGTACAGCCTCTGATCCTGCTTTCAGAGAGACTCCTGCCTGAAATGTAAATCATCATCCTTTGTACCTCTACCACATGTATATTAGCAAGGGCTTTTATCCTTCAGAGGGGAAATCAGTATTTGTTGTGAAAGTACTGTCTTGATTTCACAAAAAATCCCACTGGAAAATGTTACCATCACAGCAATGGACTAAGTTGCTCCAGCACCTTTGAGCTTTTTCTCAAGTGACAGGCACAGGGCTTTCCTTTGTCTCCAAGAGATCTCTGTAGCCCAGGTTCCTGTTTTTCCCCTTTCTCAACCTGGGTCTTGAAGTGTGGATCACCAGTGCTTTTGCAGTATTTTTGACTTGGTTCAGTCCCTGTGGCTCTTTCATTTGGGAATTTGTAATGGCAATGCACACAGTAAACAGCAACCTCTTTTTAATGCAGGCACCAATGAATCTTGGCAGTGTAAAGAAATCATCCCATAGCTGGTAAAACTAGTGGAGTTTGCAATCCCATGGCTGTGCCCTGCAGCCCAAACCTTCCCACCAAAATTTCCCCCTTTTGTTTGTTATAACTCACATCATGAGGGAGGGACAGCACTCTCAGCTTGGACTGAATCCCATGTAACCCAGCCCACAGTATAAGCTGGGCAGGGAGCAGCCACAAAACATAATTATTGGGTCCCTGCTGTATCCTTTCCCCCTTCAGACTTTGTGCACCTTGCTGGATTTCAGGGAACCTGTGAGAACCAATTTCTCTCTCCTGAACTGGATTGCAATTGACCGGCAGGTTCAAAAGTTATTGAACGTATGCTGGAAAGCTGCAAAGTAGATTAACATAGTAAGAACAAATAATAAGAGAAAAAGGATTCTTAAAATAGCTAATGGCCATGTGTCTGCAGTTACTGATGCTGAATAACAATGTTGGTATAAGAGCGTATGGTCTTAAAATAACTGAGAATGAATCTAGCTAGAAATTAGACAAAGGCTCTCAACTATCCTTAATGTTCTTGAACAGCCTTGCTGTAGGAGTAGTGAGAGCAAACCATCTACTCTGCCTTTCAGTGTGTATTTCGTTTATGAATGGGATTATACAGTGTCTCTCCCTGCAGGGAAGAAAAAAAAAAAGAAAAGAAAAAAAATCCGGTAAATGTCTGGAAACATGGTGACTTTTCTAGTCCCATGTTCCTACCTGTAGTCTGTGACTCTCCAGGAGCAAAATAAAGCATCCCAGGTCTTTCATATTGCTTAAAAAATTATGGCTGGGTGTCAGTCTGCTTCCCACATGCATTTCTTTCCCAATAATGGCATCTCTTCCCTGATTGAGGGAATCCTTTTAACTTTAGTCAAGAGCTTTACAGTTTGACCTTTACTGCCAAGATAGGCAGTAAAATTAGATCTCAGAAAAAAATGTCTTTTGCTTTAATCCCAAAATGTTGGCAGGTGGGTGGCTCTGAAGTCATCATTCTCACATGTTTTCAGGCAGACTTACTGTTAAAATAACTGAGCAGAAGTATGCAAGGAACCTCTCAGCAGAGTTGGTCAGTCATCCCAAAATGAGGACAACAGCACAGATACTCAGACTGGCTTGTAGGTCAGCCAGCTGATTATAGGATTTTCCCATCACAGAGGTAGATAAACCTTTTTGTATCACCGGGACAGACACACTAACCATGCTCTAAGATCGGATGAGCCCACAGGAGGGATTTTGCAGCTTCAGCTTTGTGTATATGTGCTGTCAGGTTCAAACATGTATGTTTGGAAAGGTGGACTCAAGTAAAACTCTATGAATGCATAGGGAAATCTGGAGTTAGAGCTGAATCCACTCTGTGGGAATAGAGCAGATCTTGCAGGTAGCTGCACCCTTCTCTATTTTATTTCTTCAGTTTTAGATGTGTAATAAGTTTTCCCTGTTTCCAGAAGTATCTTGTGTGGAGTTTCAGGTAGGCTTCAGAGGAGGAGGTGCAAAGAGGGAATGGAGACATAAAAGTCTCTGGCATGCCCTGCCCTTTCTCACTTTCTTGCTGCCCTCACTTTCCCTCTTCTCAGATCCCAGCTGGGATCTGTAGCTGGGAGGGTTGATGAAGCTT